TATATATAATGTATTTTATAATATAATACAATTTATATTTTCTATGATAATATAATTATAATATATATAATTTATGCAAAAAAAAAAAAAGAAAAAATGGAAAAATAACAAAATCGATCGAGCATCGAGCAAATAAATCTGATCTTGAATGAGATTGATAAGTTCGAGCAAACGTTCTTATTAATTCGATGATAAAAAAAAAGATAAAAAGGACAAAAACTTATAATTTATACAATCCTTAATACTCTTTCATAAGTAATTATGTACAATATACTTAACTCTTATATTAGTTAGTAGGAATTTGAAGTGGCACGACGCGACGTTAGAACTTATAATAAATTGAGTGTGGTGAAAGGACATAACTGATTATAAAAGAGAACTACTCAACCAATCTAATTTCTCGTGAGGTAAACGTCGCGGTTTTTTTCCGTACTCGAGAATACGAAAAGGGGGATAAGGGGGAGAAGAAGGGAGAAAAGAGAGAAGATAGAAAAGGGCGTATTCCAAAGTCCTGTGCAATTAGATGGTTCTTCCTTCGAAGGATCGAGAAGGGGCAGGAGATTCGAGTACTCTTTTATATACTCGAGAAAGATTGAGAAGGACTCTGTTTATTTCATTTACGTTCAAACTGACGAAAATTCAACTTCTTACTTGATTTTTTTTTTTTTTTTAAAGAGAAAGGGGCTTGCAGGATTGGGGGAAAGAAAAATATATCAACTTTAGGTATCTTGGGTTTAAAAAAGATGAATGATGATTTTTCACTTCTCCAGTTGTAGATTGTAAATTTGTACCGGTTGGTTATATTTCTTCTTCCCCGTTTTTTTTTCTTTTTCTTTTTCTTTTTTTGTTTTGTTTTAAAGCCGGTAACGCACCACAAATTTTCTTCCATGATAAATCGTTGTCGTTGTCGTTGTCGTTCCTTTTTCAGTAAGATGGAATATTTAGTTGTACGCGGAAGAGAATTTTACGTGTAAACTTCACGCACCCTTCACTTCAAGAAAAAGGTGGAAAGAGAAAAAGAAATGTATATATATGTATATGTATAGAGAGAGAGAGAGAGAGAGAGAGAGAGAGAGAGAGAGAAAGGAAAGTATCACGGTGGATGATAAATGGCCATTTCTTTTGAATATGACACCTGTTTTAAAACTTCGTTCACTCTACATGCACCTTATTTCCATAAAATGTTATATGTTTCTTCTTCTTCTTCATTTTCTTTTTCGTAATATTTTTCTCTTTCTCTCTTTCTCTCTCTCTCTTCGAGAAATAAACGTATCATATTTTGACTAAAAACTAGATTGAGATTATTTTGTAACAAATACATTTACACTAGTTACAAACGTTTTACTATTGATGCATAACGTATATATTATGTAATTTTCAAATAACAAAATAAATTATGATTTAATCTATAAGGTAATATATAAATTAAAAACTTTTTAAATATATATTCTATAATATTGAACCTAATATTGAAAATAAAAAATTAATATTAAATTATTAATTAAATACCAATGATATATATATATTGTATTCTTGGAATATATTATATATTTTTGTACAAGTAAAAATATTAAATACGCGTAGCTTAAAGAAATGCATTTAAAAGTCGAAGTTCAACCTGTTTTAAAGAACGTTTTACTATTTGAGATAAAAAATTGATGCATAATGTATATTATGCAGTTTTTAAATAACAAAATAAATTATGATTTAATCTAAGGTAATTAAATAACAATTTTTTTGAATACATATTTTATAATATTGAACTTAATATTTAAAATAAAAAAAATTAATATTAAATTATTAATTAAATATCAATGATATATTATATATTATATTCTTGGAATATTATATATATTTTAGAACAAGTAAAAATATAAAACACGCGTAGCTTAAAGAAACGCATTTAGCAGTCGAAGTTCAGCATGTTTAAAGAATCGTGAAGGAGGGTTTCAACCCTCGACCTCCGACAAACGATATCGTGGTGCAGTTTCTCGCCTCTTTCTCTCCTACCGCTAGTTCACTACTTCTGCAGTACTGCCCCTTTGGGAAAAAGTTCGTTTGAGCAGTATACTGCAAGAGGGTAAAAGACAAAGCTTAGATATTATTCCTCGTTAGAACGGATCATCGACTCTGAAAATTACTTTTCTAACCTTTACACGATCACGATCAGTGTTTTTTTTTTTTTTTTTTTTACTTAGGTGTGCACAAACGATTTTTCAAACGTCATTAAATAAAATCAATTATTGAACGTTAAAAATAATCGAATCTGATTCATTGAAAATTTTACCAATGTTAAAACGTTCGATTAATTTTACTTATAAATTCTTTTTCTTTTTTTTTTTTTTTTTTTTTTTTTTTTTTTTTTTTTTTTTTTTTTTGATTGATTGATTTATTTATTTAGAAATACGATGTATTCTCATGAATGTAGGAAATAAAATGTAAAAATTGTCGTCGAACTATAAGAAAAATGTNTAGGTGTGCACAAACGATTTTTCAAACGTCATTAAATAAAATCAATTATTGAACGTTAAAAATAATCGAATCTGATTCATTGAAAATTTTACCAACAATCATCCGTTGCCGTCAGAACAGTAACCCTATCCTCAGCTTTCTAGTGTGTATTTTTTTTTTTTTTTTTTTTTTTTTTTTTTGATTGATTGATTGATTTATTTATTTAGAAATACGATGTATTCTCATGAATGTAGGAAATAAAATGTAAAAATTGTCGTCGAACTATAAGAAAAATGTCGAATAGAAAATGTTTTATAAATTTTGTCTCTTTAGAGTCGAGTTTATTCGAGTCGATCTAATGCATTTCAAAGCGAAACTTATTCCACGTGAAATCACAAAGAGAAGACGATATAATCAATTTCTATGTAGAAATTGCTTTGAAAAAAATTCTTACGAAATTTCTTCCGAGTTATGCTTATCGAATACGATAATATAATATATTTCTTTGAACTCGTGTCTCTCCCAAGTTTTATATTCAAATCTATTTGACGTAAAAATAAAATCTTCATTCAAATTTTTAATTAATTATTTCAATGAAACAGAAAATAATGAAAATCGTACGATTAATATAAAATAATAATAATACAAACTGTAAATATATATATTAGCTGAATATATTATTAAAGAATTATATTCTTACATTAAAAAAAAAATAATTCCTACGATAAAATATTATTAAATAATTATTATATATGTGATTTTTTTCTCGTATTACAGGTTTTAAAAATGAAGTGTCACGAATATAAATAAAGAAATAAAAAATCAAAAAAAAAAAAAGATAATAAAAGTAACAAAGAAGATAGAAGATCAGAGATCATATGACGTTTCGTATATAGAAACTGCAAAACGTATGTAAAAATATCTCCTGCAGCTATATAATCGACGACACCAAAGCTTTTGACCTGTCTTTGTCCTTTTTACACAAATAACGCATACATACATATATACATACACACACCCACATCCATTAGATGCACCTAGATGCATACAACAACGTCATCGGTAAACAGTAAAAAAAAAAACCAAATATATATATAAACATATTCTCGGTCAGCTTATAATCAATCAACCTGGTATACAATAAACATATCGAATTACTTAAAGTTAAAAAAAAAAAAAAAAAAGATAATAATATTACGTATTACCTTCTTTCCCATCTAACATCATTCTCCATCGGTTTAGGTCTCTTCTCAAACTAATATAATATTCTCAACATAATATTCCTTCCAATTGACATTTTAACTAAATCTTAAAACATTTTCCTAATATTTATCTTCTCTTCCATACGAATAACACACTCGAAAACACAAAAGTATTAAAACGTATAGATACGTAAAGTGTAATTAATATACGTTAGAGAAAAAGAAAAAGAAAAAGAATAAGAAAAAAAAGAAAGAAAATAATAAACAAATTCACACGAGGATGATCATTAAAAAGTAGCAACGCCAATTATTATTTTTCTTTTTTTCCTTTTCCTGTTTGTTTAATATTCAAATGTGGTCACGTGATTAATATTACACGATACGAATATTCGCGAATCGTATATGGTAAATAACGCTCGAGAAAAATAGAATGTGTGCAAGAGTAAATGAGAAAGAGAGAGAGAGAGAGAGAGACAGAGAGAGAGAGATAAATAGAAAAAGGAAATGTGTGTGCGTGCGTGCGTGCGTGATCGAGAGAGTAAAAGAGAAAGAGAGTGAAAGAGAGAGAAAGAGATAGATAAGATAGATAGAAAAAAGGACCGAAAAATTATACGATACACTCACGACGACGTTTCAAACGAGACTAACCGAACTCTGCCGGCTCTCTGAGTACACGCAACGAGTCCTGTGGGTAGAGGTGGGGGTAACGGTGAGATGAGGCGCAGGGCCGTGCCAGGGAAAGGGTAGTGCCCCTCCCCTCCCACTCATCGCATATTCTCTTCTTCCTTGTCGATATTCTACCTTTCTCTTTCTCACTCGCTCTTCCTTTCTATATATACATATATATGTGTATGCGTATGTGTAGATATATATATATATATATGACGTATCCCGGGAGGATATCGACACGATCGTTTCGAGTCGAGCATCACAAGGGGATAACCCACGTCGAATTACCGGATTTTTCGTCCCGCGTTTTGTTACGGAAATCGGAATCACTACGGTGAACATAGGAATTCTCTCGTACATACATATATGTATGTTTTATATATCTGCATTAGGGTGGTTGTTAATTTTTTTTTTATTTGTTTGAGAAAGAGAGAGAGAGAGAGAGAGAGAGAGAAATTGATGAGCGGTATTGTCAATACCAATTTAATTTGGAATTAATGTAAATAAATCGTGTTCGAATTTCAATATGTTTTCTTGATATTAAATATGCTATTAAAAGGGGGGAGGGGAGGAGGGCGGCAAAGTTTGTTCGTAATTAAATTATCGATTTTCTTTTTTTTTTTTTCTTTATTTTTACATATGACGAGTTAAATAAATTTTATTATTAAAGTCTGTCCAAGTGGGCAAAATTTGTTATTTCATATTTCACTTTGTTATTTATTTTCAATAATAATCGAAAATTATTCGATACTCTCGTATTATTTAAATATAACAGAAAAAAAAGTATGGGTCCTCTTGAGCACACCTTTTTAATAATCACGATAAAGTACTGAAACTTGAAAAACGTTTTTTTTTTTTTGTTTCTTTTATTTATTTCGTGCTAAAATTGCTGAGTGCACTCGTACCATTTAAAAAAAAAAAAAAAAAATAAATAAAAAGCCTCGATTAACTTTACGATTACGCAAAATATATAGAAAGAGGGTAAATCGATTTATTGCTAAAGATTCAATTTCTTTTTATTCTTTTTAATTTTTTTTTTTTGTTTTTTATTTCGAATCAATATAATATAACTAGGAAAATAATTGGAACGTCGACTGGTTGAATAGAAACTATTTATAATCGTTCAATCGATTCCAATTTGTAATATATGTATGATTATCTAATAGAAATGAATATATAACACATGATTTAACGAAGTAACATTCCGTTAGGTGGACATTGAACCGTATGTTAATAAATCGAAATCACGTAATTGCATTGTATGCAAGTGATTATTCAGCGTCACATCAATCCATCATCGTTTCCGTATTCAATGTTCCCATATATGCCAATCAGGAAAGAACGACCTATTCAAAATGATTATCGTCATCAGGAAATTTGCATTTTTTAAAAACAATACTCCCATATTCAATTTTATCCGATAATATGTATTTATAATTTTTTAAAACAAAACATATATACATATGAATATAATTATAACAATATCTGCATCCATTTGTATCTATACATTTAATAAATTTAGTATTATATTAATATGAATCTTTAAAAATTAAAATTACACCCTTAAAAATCTATTTATTATTATCTTAACAAACCACTGAATATACTTTAAGTATGCATATTAACTATACCTATATACTTATGTGAGATTTGTATTATTTATATCAATGCAACGTAATCCAAATGTTCGTTCAAATATTAATTTACGGTTATCAATACAAAACACCTGCGTACACCTGCACCTATATCTCAAATCAATCCCTGTACCTATATATATATATATATATGTGTGTGTGTACAGGTGTAGATATTGGAAGTGGTTTGCTCGTTCGAAGAGAAAATTGAACGATCGCGGAGACTGCTTAATGAGCTAACCAATTAACACATTCGAATGGTAGAAACGTTAAAGGTAGTCCAGACGATTCAGAATGGGAGGTGGGGCTTTGTGAATGTGCAATTGCAGTCGATCCCTTTTCGCGGTTCTCGATGTTCATCGTTACGGAGTAACGCGTTTATTCGCGCGTATGTTAATCATTGACGAAAAAGGATGAGAAGGGTTCACATATCGATTCTTTACATATGAACCTATATAATATATATATATGTATATGTATATGTATATAATATAAAGGAAGTTTAAACATCAAGTACCCTAACTCACCCTACTCAGAGACTAAAAGAGATCTAGTGAAGCAAAAGGGAAATATACTGAAAGGGCTGATTAGAACCAATAGAAAGGGAGAAACGTTAGACGATCTTCAACCCCTTAAAAAGGTTCAATCCCACAAATAGAACCTATTAGGATCTTTCATGTTGGAATGGTATTTATTTTGATATCAATGAAAAAATTGTAACTTTTTTTATAGAAATTTATAACATATATATATATATATATGTCTTTGTGTTGTATTATTCATGTCACATATTTTTATTTTTGTATGATGAAAAATTGGTGTGTTTCTATTATTTGTTTTAATTTTATATTTTTATATTCGAATATTGTGGAGAATGATATTATGAGCAATTAATTAGGTTATATTAAAAAATATAAAAAGATTGTTTGCGATACGGTTCTCGGGGAACGACATTGTGCACATCAGAAAAATATTAATACTTCAACTTTCTGATCCTCTTTAATATTTAACGCATCACGACCAATGAACCGATATATGACCGGTTTTAAATTTGAAATTTAAATACTTGATTCAACGCTATTACTTTTCTTCACTTAACTTTACGACCACATTATAATTATTAAAATTATTTTATTTATTATTAATCAAGCCGGTTATATAAGTCAAATTGATTGTTATTTACATTTAACGATAAAAATATAAGTTCTTATTTTTTAATGACCAACCCAGTCAATTCGAACGATTAAATAATATAACATAATTTAACTAACAATAAATCGTATCAAAATCGATTCAATTATTTCTTTAATCAATTTTTAGAACGAAATTATTCTGAACACGAGAAATGTTGTTTTATTTTCGATTTAAATAATCTTATAATAGTAATAAAAAAAAAAAAAAGAACAAATCAATACTAATATTATTAAACCTCTATTTTAGCGCCTTCTAATTCATAGTATAGATCCGGCCCTGTTCATATCAGATTTTGATATTCAACAACGATGCAACATTTTGCTCATCCACATAGATCCTAGGACAATGATAGGAAATAAATGTATACGAAACAAATGTACACGGGAATCTTTTAAAAGAAATAATTTCCTTTTTATACAACAGTCCGGGGTGAGGGGGAGACGAGGGGGAAACGTCTTGGAAAGCTATCGGCATCATATTTATTCCTCGCACGATCGAAGAAAAAACTTAGTGCAGTAGTGAAATTATTTATGCGCATCGTAATGAATATAATAAATAAATTACGAACTGTCTGGTGATTATTTCACATTGGTGAAGTTTATTAAATTCTTTCCACTAACAGTCAACCAACCAGCTGGTGTTCCAATTCTAGAACCGAATCCCGTGTGGGATTTTGCCAGGTTAGTGAGACAAGCCTGTTTAATTCGAACAATTTTCCAATGAGAATCTAACGAAATATCTACCCCCATATTACCAAACGATTAATCGTCCAGTTAATTACGTCGAATGTGTTGCTTTCTATATTCCACTCTAGTTAATTCTCCTTCTCTCTCTCTCTCTCTCATCAAAGTATAATACTGTGAATAAAGCAAGTACGCGAAAGTACGGGAAAATTATCGAAATTCCTACGTTAAGTTAATTACGACATATATAAAACCTCATATCATGAAATAATAATAATAGTTACCAATATAATAGATTAGTTATATTGATTTTACATATTTATTAAACTATATTAAACACACAATATTTGATTCATTTATTGAGACTTATTTTATTAGATTTTTGTTATATTAGTTTATTGGATTTGTTAAAAAGAACAAAAGAAAAATAATAAAGTACATAAAACGTAATACGTTATTTTTCTAACAATCGACACAAGTTGCATTAAACTTATTTTTCTCCAATTTTTATTTACTTTTTCGTTTGTACAAGCATCCCTTATACCTGTATACTGAAAATAACAAAAAATCTAAATAACAAAAAAAAAGAAATATATAAATATTTTTTAATATCAAGATAGTATCTCATATCATTTCTTGTAACACTTATTAGTACCTTATAAATTAGAAAAGAAAATCTCTCGACACAAATCCTCAGAAGACCATTTAGCGGATTTAATCTCCGATCATAAATTTTATCGGGAAGAAGAAATAATCGTTGTCCTACTTAGAAAATAAGATATGGGGTGGTAGGGAAAAAAGGGGGGGGGTTTATTTAAGCTATCAAACGAACGAAATAAAGAAAAATCGATAGGATCAAAAGGATAGCCTTTGGGTAGGAATTTGAAAAGAATACCTCCCCCTCACCCCACCCTTCCGTCGAATGGTTTCAAGAAAGAAAAAAAATAATAGAGGTTACATAAGTATATAGTAATTCATCTTCCTATGTATTCAATAAAACCATATACACCACAGAAACATATATGCATGTGTGTATCTGTCTATATGTGTGTAGGTGCACAAGCATACACATATAAATTTATACGTGAAGTATAAAAGTATATTCAGAACATAGTAAAAAGTATATAAATATATATGTATATGTATATATATATATATATATATATATAGTTAGGTGCTTTTCTTGCATTTTCCATACTTGCGAGCCATTCATTCCCTGTTCGACTGTCTGCCCTTTTCAAAGCCCAAGTCAATTTCAGTCAATCTAGCTCGACCCGAAGCTACTATTACAACTACTACCTACCTACCTAC